GGCTGTGTTTTTCCTGTTTCTTGGTGAACAGAAAGAATGCTCTAACCATAACAATCAACCAAATACGTACTTTCAGCAGAATAAGGGCATTAGAATTCTGCTGGGTTGCGATGCTAAACTGTTATACAGTGAGTTCTGAAATCCAAAATATAAATGATCTCTGATACAGCATACACAGATGTACAATACTAACAGCCTACAAACTGATGGGAATGTACAATGCAGGGGAATTTGGCAGTATCAATAGTACATGGCAGTAGGGAACTGTTGATACCATTGGGTGCAGCCACATGTGGACCATAGACATATCCTACAACCTGTCAATGTCTTCTTACATTCTCACTGTGCTTTTTACAGATATTTTGTGATGCAACAAATAGTAATGGGGAGCATCTCAATGGAGATGAACAATGTACAGATACTGTATACTATTATTTCAGTGTAGCAGCAAAACTCAAGTGAACCAAGTTAAGCTCATTGAAATTGGAGCTGTCACCACGCATAATAGGAAACTTCAAAACTAATCTCATTATTTTACTGAAAGAGTAGTTGATGCTTTGAATAAACTTCCAGCAGAGGTAGTGAGTCAGTCAACAGTAAATAGCTTCAAACATGCTTGGGACAAGCATAGATCTATACAAAAAAGTTAACGGAAAAAAAAAAAAAAAATGCGCAAACTCAATGGGCCACCTGGTCTTTTTCTGTATTTCTATGTCTTTGGTGCTACCTATATGTCTTTTATATAATTAGAGCCGATCCATTTACCAAAGGTAGTAGTAATATTGATGAACATAATTGTTTTTTAACTTCCATGAGCATAGCCAGCTATTTAAATTGAAAACTACCCCAGAAAAAAATTGACCTACTTTTATACTTGGAAGATTACCTGTGAAAACAGGTATGTCCACAGGGATTGAAATATTGACATCTTGCTTGTGATTTTTCATTTCAGGCATAAGCAAGAGTATATCAGTGATGTTTTTAAAGTTGAACTCCAGGCAAACAGCTTAATACACAGCTGAAATAACATATGTACAGGGGCGTATTTACCACAAGGCAAACAAGGCTTTTGCCTAGGACAGCATTTTTCATGGGGGTGGCACCACCTCCTGGCAGAAGTGACACACGTGGCAGCCAGTGACTGAGGATAAGGAGCAGGTGAGGCACAGGCACAGCCGTGCGGGCTGCTGAAGGGTTTCTGACTCTCGTTCCTGGATCATTGTCAGAGACAGGCACAGCAGTGCAAGCTGAGGTCTGCTGAAGGGTGTCGAACTCTCATTCCTGGATCCATGTCCGAAACAGGCACAGCAGTGCGAGCTGCGGACTGCTGAAGGGTGTCGAACTCTCATTCCTGGATCCATGTCCGAAACAGGCACAGCAGTGCGAGCTGCGGTCTGCTGAAGGGTGTCCAATTTTCATTCCCAGATCATTGTCAGATATCAACGCAGAAGGAATATGTTGGGCTCCTGGGGTGGCCGGTGGGTGAGTGTTGGAATCTCTCTCTCTCTCCGCAACCCCGATTTTACTCTTGCCTAGGGTGGCACACAACCAAAATACACCACTGCATATGTAACAACTGTTTTACCTGTCCAAATCCAATATAATGACCTAAATCTTCTAGACTGAAATTAAGCAAGTTAGGTCACTCAACCATTCTCACCCTGTGACTGAACAACAAAGAAGTAGAAGCACATTGATGAGCTTATCTATGTGCTCATTCTACATTTTTCTCCTATTGGCATAGTCCTTGTTAGTTCATGTGCACCTAACACACCTGGCCCTCCTTTTCCCTACTGGCCACAATTGTCACATGGTAGGCTAGAGTTTAATGGCAAGCAAACCTGCAGTGACTTGTGGCATTCACTTTTTGCAGTAGATAATGGATGTGCACAGATAGCAAGAGAATCACAGATGTTATGTCAAAGTGGCATGCCTGGTAACATCCGCTGTTGCCACCAGGACAGAAAGTGAAGAAAAATCTGAAATAAAGCTGTTACAATGAAAGAAGAGTAACAGATGAGCTCATCATCATTCTGCTGTTTCTCAGAGACTGGGAGAAAAGGAAGACCTGTAAAAGGCTGGGTTTACATAAGTGCAGTACACTTTAGGTGCATTTTATATATGCTTTAGGTACGTTTCCACTGAACTCTATATAATGTGCTGTTTGAGGAAAGCGCGCACCAAACATGCAGCAAGCAGAATTTTTATAGCACCATACCTAAAGCGCATGTAAAATACACGGGTGAACAGGGCCTAACTGCAGTGGAGAAAATTGGATTGGATGGGGGGTAACGGGGGGGGAAGCCGTTTTCCAAGTGCAGTAAAAGTTATTTCTACCCCAATCACTTTTACTGAAAAGCCAGGAGTCTGCTGAAATAAATGATAACAAGCTTTTTATAACCATTTGCATTTAGGTTATTTAGAAATGGCTTATGGATGGCAAGTGGTGAGAGAACTAAGTTATGCTGCTTGGTTGTTGTGTTGCAGCACGTCACTGCTTCCTACAATTGGGGTACATTAACCTCCCTAGCAGTCTGATTATGTCCATATTTCTGTGCTCAAAGCGGTACATTTTTTTGCATGGACATATGTAGTTTTTTTATTGTAGGCCTGTAATTTTTAGGAATAACTCACTGAAATCTGTCCGAACAAGAGTCTAGTAAACATCCCGGGTATGATAAAAATTTGAAACACAAAATTATAAATTATAATAAATAATCATTAAAAATAATAATATAATAATAATAATAAATTTAATTCAATAATGTGATCAAACCAAAAACACTGAAATTTGAAATAGATCGCCAAGTTCACACATCACTGAGCAAAGTCGCAAAATTGTTTTCAGTGTCTGATGACGAATTTCCCCACAAATCATTATCACTCAATTCTGCAAGTAGTTCTGATTTACTATCGCTGTTCTCTAGCTGGTCTAAAACCGCTTTTGACCTAAAGGGATGCTTTTTGGATGCCATGGACGTTTCTCAGTTTCCAGGCAGAAAGAACGGTTATAAATGCAGGCAGGGCACAGGACAAAGCACTCGGGACAAAATGTATGTGAAATGGTTTGATACAGTAATGTAATACTATGTGATTTTAGTGTATTGAGTGAATGTTACTTTTAAAATTTTTTAATTTCCCACCGGTTCCATCCCCCGTATGTCTCGACGCTCGCAGGGAACGGAACCCAGAAGACAGATGCCGGCATTGGCCGGGGATGTTGCAGGGGGGACATCGCGGGAGCGAAGGACAAGGTAAGTGCAAGAGGGAATCCCTGAACAAGGCTGCAGGGTAATCCCAAGTGTAGCTCGGGGTTACCGCTTCTGTTACTAAAAGTTAACCCCCAGCTACACTCAGGAATACCGCCAGGTAGGTTAAAGGTGAAGTAGGCCCAAAGCTCTGTTGGTCGTACTTCTTCTATGGATCACAGGAATGTGATTAAGAACTTATTGGCCTTGCCTTACTTGTGCCGGGGCCTGCCTTTTAATTTGCTGGTTTGGTGCTATTCACAATCATATTACAAAAAATGTAAACTGGTCAATCAACTTATGAGTTAGTAATTAAAATAGCATGATGCTACTATCAAATAGTAAGATCAAAACATTTATAAAAACTGAACTATCTCTAAAGTGTCCAGAATTAAGCGGACAAGTCCTGTCTCATATCATTACACCTAATGGCCAATGGGTAAAACTAAAAATATATCTCACAATGCCTATACAAAAGTGTATAAATAAACTGTGAGAATTCCTGGGCATGCTGCATTTACATCAACTCCAAGTAACATCATAGATAAGTGGCCACAAATAAGAGTGCAAGATAAATATGAATGCACCAAAAAAATCTTCAGTCATAGATCTGATTGCATAAATCTGCAGAACTATCAGTTAAGGAACTGATTTATTTGCAGACTTGAGCATATGAGTGGCATGTGAAAATGGACTCTGAAGTATCCTAGACTTATGGGAAGCCAGGGATTGACTCACCCTATCGGGCTCCACCAACAACTCAAATATAACTTTTGGGTGGGCTGACCATTTAACACTTTCTTTTGGCCTTCCAAGATACCGTACTGAACATCTCCCTCAATACTACTGGCGATAAAATCTCCTTCTGCTGCTCTGCCTCCATGCCGCCATCTTGAAACTTCTCTTTCCTGGTTTTCATCCTGCTCACGCGCAGACATACTCTTGGTCTCTGCTAGATCTTTGGAGCTTGGCAAAGCATTGCCACATGCCTGTGCATGCATGTGGTTGGCATCAAGAACACACACAGGTCCCAAAGACCTAATACCTATGATGTCTGTATATGAGCAGGATTGAAATCGCACAATACTTCTCAAGACTGCCTCCTGGGATGTGTGACATGAACATCGCAGGAGACAGCAATTGGCTGGTCTATGTCATCCTTGCCTAGGTAAAGAATCAGGAAGTAGCAGGTTGCACAAGGAATGAAAAGTAATTTACCATTAAAAAAAATGTCTTCTTTTGTATATGTATGAGAGAGTAAGCAGAGGAGAGAAAGTTAAGTCCATGGGTGGAAGTCCGCTTTACCAAACAGGCATCTAATGAAAAACCAATTAGCAATTATTAATTGAATTATTAATTGAATTTATTATTAATACATTTCTTATATTCCATTAGTTAAGATTATATAATGTTGCTGGCAAAATACTTGTATAGTAAAAAAACACACATTGATATTCTGCATATAATTTATTGACAAAGTAAAACCATACAAAAATAACAACTGTCTAAAAATAATCATAAACAACATGCAACATTTAATTAAATACTGGAGCGACAAAGACTATTTTACATAGCCGATGACATTTTACTATGTTAACGTGACATGAATATGTATACAAAGAAATGACTTATAATAAAAATACTTCTGGTTAGTATGGAGTAAATAGAAAAATAAAGCTTACAATTATACACTATACACAGTAAGAAAAAGCATGTCATGGTAAGACACTGGAATACTTTAGAGAAAGGATCTTAAATTTCATAATTTCTGAATTTTCGAAGAAGGTCAGATGGAGCCTCGGCCGACCAGCGGAAGCGCAGGAGACAGTATGTCATGTCTGGACTTCCTACATTCAAACAAGAGATAAATGGTTGTTAATGGTTCAAAATTGTCAAAATTATGCTAACGCTGATCATAAATGTATGCTACAGTAAGGTGACTGGTACATTACCTTCAATTTATTAGGAAATTCTACATATCCTGGATCCTTAGGGGAAATAGGAGTGTTTTGATTAAACTTCATCTTTTGCACCATTGTGCACCCCTCCTGCCTATAACATTTTACAGGGGATCTTCTCCCCCACAGCTGCTGCCACATTTGAAATATGCACGGCCACTCCACCCACACAACTGTATTATTCATTCACAGAAATCTGTGAATTTTTTGCACTACAAGTCCCATCTGCCCCCTGGCAGACAGACTTGTAGATCTCAATGGCACACGAGTGTGGTGATCACCACATTCATATTCCATTGACAATTCCTCTAGCTTTCCAGCTGAAATTCCATGCCTCTGCACAGTACCCCAGGTAAATTATAACTTTTTTTTTCAGAACAAATTGGACTTTAGTTTATTTGCAAATGTTAGTAGGTATCTCTTGATTTAATTTATAGTATCAAAGGAAAAAGCAGCCCACAAGAGTAAAAAAAAAAGAATTGTAAAATTGTAGGCCATTATTACCCAACACGAAATAAAGAATAAAAACATAAATAACTTCTCTGCTGATGTGCATGAGGATACCACATGTTGGTGAATTATATCTTGTATGTACCCATTAAGGGGCCAAGAAACAATAGTGCGCATTTTGCGACACTAACCCTAACACTAATTTTGACATCAACACTTACCCTAATGCTAACAGTGACATTAATCCTGACCCTAAAGTTATAATGACATTAAAGCTGGCCATAAACTGATCGATATTTATCCAGTTCACCAGGCACCAGCCAAAATTTGATCAGTTTGTAGTCGTCTCTGCTCTACAGATGACCTGATATTCTCTTCTTCAGTTAACTAACACTGTGACTGGACAGTGAAAGAAGAAGCAGCAGACTGATGGGCTCATCTCTTTGTCATTCTACTTTCTCTTCACAGCTGATTGACTCTTTGTGCTGCTTGTCCCTGCTCCAGTCTGAGCACTGCAGTACAGGGACTACAGGAGGCTGATACCAGTTTCTATTCAAGTGTTTACACTGCTTTCATTTAAAGGATAAGTTCACCTTTTGGGCAAAAATAATAAATGCACATTTTTTTGCAGGTAAAAAAATGTTCATTTATTATTTTTCTCCAAAGGAGCCTGGAAAGCATTGCACCGGCGAACAGCAGATCACTGATGTCATGCTCCTGCAGACCTGTCAGAATATCTGCTTGCCATATGGGATGCACAAGCAAGCAGATATTCTGACAGGAAGCCTCAATGAAGTACCACGGCGCTCCACAGCACCGTGGTAGTTCATTGAAAACTACAAGCTGACTGCCGCTAAGGCTGCTGGGACTTGTAGGCGCTCATTCACAGAACTCTGAGTGAGTGACGTGGCTGTGTGGGCGGAGCCCCGCATGGCCACACTGTTTTCAAATCTGAGAGATAGTACAGGGAGAAGTTTCCACATACTATCTGTCAGAGGGAGGGGGACGGTGGGCACGGCTGCCGCTATGGGAGCAAAAAACGTGTGGAACATGTAACATGTTCCAAAGGTGAACTTATCCTTTAACCTCTTGCCATCCGCCTGCTGTTTATAAACGGCAGGGCGGTGGCACTCCAGGGGCGGGTTGCCGTTCATAAACGGCACCCGCCTTTTCTAGATGTGCGCGCTCCCTGGGAGCGCGCAGCACCGCGATCCGGTGCCTGCTGTGTCCTCCGGACACAGTGAAACACCGATCGTCGGACGAGACCTCTGTACGAGGTCCCAATCATGTGATCACTGATTGGCGAATCAGTGATCACATGCAAAGTAGTAAGCAAGATGTCACTTGTGACATCATTGCTTACTGCGTGTGAAATCTGTGAATGATCAGGTCACATGGTACAAGGCTATTCACAACAGCCTTGTACCATGTGACAAGCTGTGACCAATCACAGCTCACTCAGTACTTCTTAATGACTGCAAGAATGCAGACAGAGAGAAAGAGAAATGATTGCTTTTACATCCTATATGGGTATAAAAGCAATCAGTGTAAAAAAAAAAAAAAAAAATCTTCATCACCCCCCACAAGTAGTACAGTGTCACCATGGTGACACTGTACTGCTAGGGTGACAGTATGTAAAAAAAAATAAATAAATAAAAAATAATAATATAAAAAAAATAAAATAAAAATTAAAAAAAAAATGTTTAAAAATTATAATTTTTGGTTATAAACTTATTTGGATTTTTTTTTTTACTAAAAAAATAACGGAATAAATTTTGGCCAAGATTTATGATGAAATATTATTTATTTGCAAAATTTTATAAAAAAAAAACACTTTTTAAAAAATTTTTTGGACTTTTTCATTTACATAGTAAAAAAATAAAAATCCCAGCGGTGAATAAATACCACCAAAATAAAGCTTTATCTGTCTCAAAAAAATTATAAAAAATTCATATTGGTACAGTATTGCATGACCGCGCAATTGTCATTCAAAGTGTGATAGCGCTGAAAGCTGAAAATTGCCCTGGTCAGGAAGGGGGTAAAAGTGTCCGGACAGGAAGTGGTTAAGAAACAAATGTGATGATGATTTATTGAATACTAATTATAGTCTTTTATATCTTCCTAGGAGTGAAAACAGCATGATATCAATAGAAATGTTGCTTCTCTGTCTCTGCTCAGAGGCAAAATGTTTTTAGTCATTCTGAAAAGGTTTACTTAAACTTTAAGAGCTAGATCACAACAGATCTAGAGCCACTAATTCTGGTGTTACCTTCAGGACTTTTAGGTGACAGTAAATCGATATTTTCCTGAGGTTCCTCCAACGTGTAATCCTCGTTTTCACTGCTGAGCGGGTTGTTCTTTTCTTCCGCGTCAATTAAGATGTCATCATGTGCTCCGTCTGAAGGCTTGTTTGGAGCCTCCAGCATTGCTTCCTTCTTGTTCTTTACAGCCCAGTGCATTGACTAGAAATAAACATTCATGGAATTTACTAATATATCATCAGTCTGTATAAAATTGTTTTGATGATTTAAAGTGGAACTAAACTAAATAGTGGCTAAATGGATAGCACTTCTGCCTGGAAGTACTAGGGTTGCTGGTTTGAATCCCAACCATCACACCATCTGCCTGGAGTTTGCATCTTGGATCCTGTCTATAGATCCTGACTTAGATCCTGTCTATATTGGCCCTAGTATGTGTATGTATGAATGTGCGTTAGGGACCTTAGATTGTACGCCCCTTGAGGGTTAGGGACTGATGTGAATGTACAATATATATGTAAAGAGCTGCATAAATTGATGGCGCTATATAAGTACCTCTAATAAATAAATAAACTTAAGTAATAAAAAAACTACAAGCAGACAGCTCTTCATTGCAGAAGAGACATGCAGTCTCTCTTCTGTAATATCACTTACCTGCCTACTCACAGTCTTCAATGGAATGTACACTTGGCTGCACATGTTCAGTTCAGCATGCATTGCTGCTGTGCTGGAATGACTGGACAGGATAATGTCATTCACCCCTTGGCCAATTAAGAGCCCAAAAACGTGACACCCGTATTCAGGGTTTAACATGTAATGTGTTAGTAAAGCTGCAGCCTCATACCCCACTGATCCCTCATTGTGACAGCGGACGGGAGATCCTCTCCCCATACCCCCATCACAATTTAAAAACAGTGTGGCTGTGCGGGGCTCTGCCACACAGCTGCTTCAATCGTTCACAGAGATCTGTAAATGACTGGACTACAAGTCCTATCTACCACCACAGCAGGCGGCTTGTAGTTAACAGTGAACTGTGAGGATGCTAATTTTCCTCTTGTTCATTGATTCTTCCCGCACTTTAGTAACTGTCTGCCCACATGGGAGGTATGGGCAGACAGCTGTATTGAGAGTCTGCAGGAGCCTGACATTGCACCCATGGGGTGGGTGTAATTCTCTGCAATATCCTGATAAAAAATAAATAAATGCACATTTTTTTACCTGCAGAAAAATGTGCATTTGCACTGTCAACCCATCAAAGGCTTTATCCTATGGATTTGACTGGCAGGATCAACAGGTCAGTTTGTCTCTTTGTGGGGAGACTAAAGGGAAATAAAATAAAGCAGATGCATTTAGCAAGACTATACTAAATAATTTTTTTTACTTGACCACAATTTTACTAAAAAGTCTTGCAATATCTTTGTCATAATTCATTGATTCTTTGTATTATATACATACAGTCAGGTCCATAAATATTGGGACATGGACACAATTGTAACATTTTTGGCTCTATACACCACCACAATGGATTTGAAATGAAATGAACAAGATGTGCTTTAACTGCAGACTGTCAGCTTTAATTTGAGGGTATTTACATCCAAATCAGGTGAACGGTGTAGGAATTATAACAGTTTGCATATGTGCCTCCCACTTGTTAAGGGACCAAAAGTAATGGGACAATTGGCTTCTCAGCTGTTCTATGGCCAGGTGTGTGTTATTCCCTCATTATCCCAGTTACAATGAGCAGATATAAGGTCCAGAGTTCATTTCAAGTGTGCTATTTGCATTTGGAATCTGTTGCTGTCAACTCTCAAGATGAGATCCAAAGAGCTGTCACTATCAGTGAAGCAAGCCATCATTAGGCTGAAAAAACAAAACAAACCCATCAGTGAGATAGCAAAAACATTAGGCGTGGCCAAAACAACTGTTTGGAACATTCTTAAAAAGAAGGAATGCACCGGTGAGCTCAGCAACACCAAAAGACCCGGAAGACCACGGAAAACAACTGTGGTGGATGACCGAAGAATTCTTTCCCTGGTGAAGAAAACACCCTTCCCAACAGTTGGCCAGATCAAGAACACTCTCCAGGAGGTAGGTGTATGTGTGTCAAAGTCAACAATCAAGAGAAGACTTCACCAGAGTGAATACAGAGGGTTCACCACAAGATGTAAACCATTGGTGAGCCTCAAAAACAGGAAGGCCAGATTAGAGTTTGCCAAACGACATCTAAAAAAGCCTTCACAGTTCTGGAACATGATGAGACCAAGATCAACTTGTACCAGAGTGATGGGAAGAGAAGAGTATGGAGAAGGAAAGGAACTGCTCATGATTCTAAGCATACCACCTCATCAGTGAAGCATGGTGGTGGTAGTGTTATGGCGTGGGCATGTATGGCTGCCAATGGAACTGGTTCTCTTGTATTTATTGATGATGTGACTGCTGACAAAAGCAGCAGGATGAATTGTGAAGTGTTTAGGGAATATTATCTGCTCATATTCAGCCAAATGCTTCAGAACTCATTGGACGCCGCTTCACAGTGCAGATGGACAATGACCCAAAGCATACTGCAAAAGCAACCAAAGAGTTTTTTAAGGGAAAGAAGTGGAATGTTATGCAATGGCCAAGTCAATCACCTGACCTGAATCCGATTGAGCATGCATTTCACTTGCTGAAGACAAAACTGAAGGGAAAATGCCCCAAGAACAAGCAGGAACTGAAGACAGTTGCAGTTGAGGCCTGGCAGAGCATCACCAGGGATGAAACCCAGCGTCTGGTGATGTCTATGCGTTCCAGACTTCAGGCTGTAATTGACTGCAAAGGATTTGCAACCAAGTATTAAAAAGTGAAAGTTTGATTTATGATTATTATTCTGTCCCATTACTTTTGGTCTCTTAACAAGTGGGAGGCACATATGCAAACTGTTGTAATTCCTACACCGTTCACCTGATTTGGATGTAAATACCCTCAAATTAAAGCTGACAGTCTGCAGTTAAAGCACATCTTGTCTGTTTCATTTCAAATCCATTGTGGTGGTGTATAGAGCCAAAAATGTTAGAATTGTGTCCATGTCCCAATATTTATGGACCTGACTGTATATATCCTAACAATGAACTTCCTATATTTGTTCTTTTGGTATGTTAAAGAGGAGCTCCAGACTCCCCCCAAAAAATGAATAGTTAGCAGCTACAAATACTGTAGCTGCTGACTTTTAAAATATAAGGACTCTTACCTGTCCAGGGATCCAGCAATGTCCTCATCCGAGCCGATTCTTCAGTCAGCTTCGTGTCCAGGCATCTTCCGTAAGAAAATCTGGCAGTAAAGCCTTCACAGCCAGTTCCATACTGTGCATGCGCAAAGTGCGCTATGCTTTGTGAACGGTCCTGCAGTCTTCTGGGACCTGTTAAGTGTTCTAGAGGGCTGTGGGGGAAGGAAAGGAGGCCGAACTTATGGCTCAAATTGGCGCTGCGCATCTGCCCATAAGTGGGACTGGGTACCTGTAAAAACCAGGTACTTGCTCCCCCGACCCCCAAAAAGTGCCAAATGTGGCAGTGGGGGGGGGGGGGGGGGGGGGAGATGTAAACAAGCGGAACTTCCCCTTTTGGGTGAAGTTCCTCTTTAAACACAATTTTAAAAGTGTTTGCTATATCTGTTTGAGAGGTCCAAAAGAAACTGTTGATCCTAACAGAAATCTTGTAAGCTGAAAACATCCTGTGCCCCCTGCCTGTGCCGCACTAATCAGTTAGCATTGCTTCTAGCTATCCCTGTACACTACAGAACTCCATCCCTCCTGTTTAATGGAAAAGAGATGTAGTTCCAAAACACTCCCATAGTGTTACAACACTGCTCATTCATAGATACAGTACAGCGAGTGTTGTCACCCTAGGTTAGGAAGTGTTTAATGGCAGGAACACCAGATGAAAATAAGGGGAAAAGCCTGAAAAAAAAAATGGATGCAGCCATCACTTTAAAGGAATGTATCTTGGGTTTAGATACACTTTAATAATTCATATGTTATTGTCCTGATGCAGCAAACTTTATATCATGGACAAATGTTAGTTTATAGCAGTGGTTTCCAAACTGTGGCCCGAGGGCTGTACGCAGCCTTCTGCAGGCTTTTAACAGTAATCCTCCTACAGATGTGAGGCACTATATCTCCCACTGACACCAACAGTGGGGCATAATTCCTGCCAATGACCCCAATGATGGGGCACTATTCCTCCCACTAATACCAATGATGGGACACTATTCCTCCCAGTAATATCAATGATGGGGTACTATTCCTCCCACTGACAGCAACGATGGGACACTATCCCTCCCACTGATACCAATGATGGGGTACTATTCCTTCCACTGATACCAATGATAGGGTACTATTCCTCCTACTGATATCAATGATGGGGTACTATTCCTTCCACTGATACCAATGATGGGGTACTATTCCTCCCACTAATACCAACGATTATCCTAGATCATGCTCTAGCAACAGCTTCTATGAATTGGAGAGCTGGACGGAAAGGTGGGCATAATTGGGCTCTCCTGATGACAGCTTGTGGCAGCCCCTTAGTTCTATTAACCAGAAGATTATGGCGGCAGGGTGGGGGAGAGGGGCAACAAAGGAAGATTTTGGCAAAGGAGGACACAGCAGCACAAGGGACACATCTCACAGAAGGTAAGTAATGTTCCTTGTGCTGATTTTTTTGTTGTTTGTTTTAGGTAAACTGAGGCTTTAAAGAAGTTGATGATCACTATCGTTTATGGTGTTTACCAGCATGTACATCGGATTGTAAAGTTTCTGGGAATGCTGAAGAACAAGAACACAGTGTCTGCCCTAGACATGCCAGTTCAGGTCATCTGTTGCTCAGAACATACTCATATTAAGAGGTTTGCTGTAGAGCAGCGGTTCTCAACCTGGGGGTCGCGACCCTTTGGGGGGGTCGAACGACGCTTCCACAGGGGTCGCCTAAGACCATCGGAAAACACATATTTCCGATGGTCTTAGGAACCAAGACACCGCTCCTCGCCGCCGCCCGCCGCCACCGCCGTCTCCAGGTGTGGGCGGGATGACATGCCGCCCCTGTCATCTGGACACACCTCGAGATCAATCCTCGCCTGTGATTGGCCGCCGGCACTGTAGCTCAGGAGAGGCACACAGGCGGCCAATCACCGGCAAGGAGGTGGAGCTTGGAGAGGAGATCGAGCGAGTGAAG